AGTTTTCATACAGGTTAGTAGATCAAACTAAAGGCTAAAAGGCCTCTCTACTTCATCCCCGAAGTGATTGGTAAAGCGTACATTGACTTCAGTGGGGCAGCCGGCAGGATTAGACACTAAAACACAGCCCTTTTGCTCACACGATTAAGCCAATGGGACTATTCTCATGCATAAATCTAAACAGATATAATTTGTGGCTGTAGGTGGATGTAAGGCTAGAGAGTGAATGCTATTTCCTTATCTTGCCAAGACATCATTTGATATGGAGAGTGAATGTGTCAGTCAGTCCATCTCCCCTCAATTTATCATGTATTGTTTGTAAAACTGGACAAACAGCATACTTCAGTGAATATCTCAAATCCAATCTATATAAAATGGTCACACATGGACTGATGACCAAACTAGGTTCATTGTTTTGCTATGTATAACACTGATGTCTCCTTGCCAGTTGCAGTTTTTTATATGGGGTGTGACTATATTCAGTAAATTATACCCTGTAAATTGTTTAACACAGCTATGGAATGACTAAATAGAAGTACTATAGCAAGACTGGTTAATTTACAAACTGAGCAGGCTCTGGGCTTGAAATGTAAGAAATACTTTCCATACAATGTTGGTGTACTCGGAAAGGCTGACAAGGTATCCAGTTCCAGTGAACGGTATATGAATTTCATAAATAGGAGACCCAGTCATTTTGAGTTGTATTAATATATTTCATAACATTTCCAAAAGCTCTTACGGCCCAGCTCCTAAACCCCACTGAGGGGAAAGAGGAAGATCCAGCAGTTGAGTCACTGCCCTGAGACATAGGACAGCAGGGTTGGATTAACTCGTCTGTGGGCCCGGGACTATTAGATTTTTCTGGGGCCCTTGGGGATTTGGAATGGTGGATTGGGGTCAGGGCTGGGGCAGGAGACTAGCGTATGGGAGGAGGGTGCAGCTTCAGTTAAGGGGGTAGACTTTGGGGCCATAGATGGGACCAAGGTTTGAGGTGCAGATGGGGGATGCAGATTCTGGGAGGGAGGTTGGGTGCAGGAGAGGCTGTGGTATCCAAGCTCCATCCAGAAGGTGCATATCTCGGGTGGCTCCTGGTCAGTAGCACAGTGGTGCTAAGGCAGGGTTGCTTGCCTGCCCTGGCTCAGTGCTGCTGTGCTGCCGAAAGTGGCTGGCATGGCCAGGCCGCTTTGCGCAGGGCACACTGCCTGTGCCCCCAGGTGCTGCTCCCAGAGCTCCCATTGGCTGTGGTTCCTGGCCAATGAAAGCTGTGGAGCCAGTACTGGGGGTGTGCTCAGTGTGTACAGATTCCCTGACCATCCTTCACCGAGGGGCTACAGAGGTATGCCTGTCAGCCAGCACTGATGACTCCAGCCCTGCAGGGGGGCAATGAGGCAGACTTACCGCAGGCCAGATTAAATGAAGCAGCGGGAGGCAGAGATCCTGCAGTGCCCTGGGCTGCAGCCCCCTAAAGCCCATGCATTAAATCAGCCCTCATGTTAATTCCTTACTCTGCCATGGACTGGCTGTTAGACAAGTCACTCAGGCTGTCTGTGCCTCTGTTCCCTAGCTGTATGTGGTCCCAGAGAAGTTACTGCTGGGATGATATCACTCATTGAAACATCATGAAATGATGTCACTGTGACTGAGTTGGTCACAGAATACATGAACATAGAACTGCAATTGAAATCAGATGTTAAGCACCTACATACCTTTGAGGATCTGGGCCTAAGTGACTTAGAAGTCCTAATGCAACTTAAGAGCTAAGTCATGTAGATGCTTTGGAAAATGTATCTCTAGTTTTTAACAGAACCCAACATAACAGTTCTGATTTTTATTAAATCCCTTGTTTCCCACCCACCTGCACCCCAACAATACATCAGGGTATGTCTACACTAGCACCCTAGTTCCACGAGGTGTAACAGTTAATTCAAACTAAGGAATTAGTTCGAATTAACGTTTAACTGCCGCGTGTAGCCGCGGGCAGTTAGTCCGGACTAAGGGGATTTAAAAATGGTGCCCGGACAGGAAGATGCAAATAAAGCCCAGGATATTTAAATCCCGGGCTTCATTTGCAAGTTCGAATGCCTATATTAGCCTCCCTAGTTCGAACTAGGGTAGCAGTGTAGACATACCCTCAGGGTGTTCATTTAATACACAGTGCCATTTGTACAACTGCTGTTGGCTTCCTAACACATTGGCGAAATATCTTCTGGAGTTAGAATTCACATATACTGACCCCAAACCTCTCACTGAAATGTAACTTCTCGTTCAAGAGAAGGCTGAAGAAATGTTCCAAACAATGGGAGACTCCAAAATTCATAGCTAGTGCTCTCATGCCTTCATTCTGTTTTTACTGTCCTTGAGGAATCTGACTCACTTTTCTCTGTTTTATTTTCAACACAAAGTAGAACAAATCTGGCAGTGTTGCCAATTGTCACAATTGTGGGGGTTCCTTTCTGATTTTGGGGAGCTGACATGATTTTTTTTTGAATGCTTTGGAGTTGGCAACCCTGTGCCCTTGAGTAAATTTAAGCATGTAAAAGCCCCAATTAATTCAATAGCATGGCATATCTGTGCAGATTTACCAGGTGCTTCCCAGAAACCTGGCTTCACAATTTCCATAGACCGTAATTAATTGTATCTTACACATGGGTTTGGTACATATTCCATGACAGTGAACGGTCATTGTTTCCTGGAGGTTGAAATACTTATTTTAATTATGATCAGAGTGAGAGAGGTTGAAAATTACATACTAATATTTCTATTATATGTAATGTCAGAATTACATATGTCAAAAACTGTTTTTAAATATATGAACATGGATGCACACACTCACAGACACCATCACATTCAGTCTGCTTTGCAGTATTCCCTCCTGGGCCATTAAATGAAGATTCAATACAGTCACGCTGTGGTAACATATGGGGAGAGTTAGGATCTTTCCTGTCATATCTTTCTGATGTAAGTCAGGCTTACAATGAGATTTAAACATTGTATTTTATGCAAAGGAGCTGCTATGCTGTACTATGTCAGTAGGGTGGCAGTATCTGGCATATGTCACTGGATAGCTTTTTGTATGGCATCTCAAAGGAACTGCAGGAGTCATTAGGATCTATTTACTGGTTAAATTAGACGGAAGCACAGCTTTACCTCCTATCTTGCTTACACTAAAGGGCATCCTCAGATCACATTTAGCCAACAAATGTAAATATATATTCACTCCAGCTGGTTTAAATAAGATTTCTGATATTTGAATATTTCTTTGTTGAATAGCTCTTAGGAATGCATCAGTAAAACAACCTTGCAACATCCTTAAGATTCTGATTCCACACATTCAGAAATTATCTTTATTTTGTGTAATGTTTTAGAACAATCTAGATTCAAAGTCTTCACCTTCATCCTTAATATTCCTACAAGCACAGGAATGTAAGTCACCATACTGGAGGTCCACCTCATCCAGTATCCTCTCTCTGATACTGATTCATGTAAGATGCTTTGGTGGACTCGGAAAACCGTTTCCACTAAAATGCACACATCCCTGCAGCCTTCCAAAGCCCAAAGGCATAGATTCCCTCCATCCCACTATCTCCTCTTCCTACTTCAGAAAACTCTGTCCTCCCACAAGTGCCTTGCAGATCGTGTGAGACTCCCAAGCAGGATCAAAAACAAACCTATGTTTAGAAATAATGCAAATTGTCTTTGTAAACCTCAAACAGCTGCAGAGAACCCCTTTCTGCAAGCTCAGTTTAAAGAAGCAACAATAGCAGTAGTATCCTTCTGGAACTGAACCAAATACTGGATACTGGACGAGGTGGACCTCCAGTATGGTGACTTACATTCCTGTGCTTGTAGGAATATTAAGGATGAAGGTGAAGACTTTGAATCTAAATTGTTCTAAAATATTACACAAAATAAAGTGAAAAAACATGGACTTCAATAGTGTTTGGATCAGGCCCTTAAAAAACTTCTTCAGTGAGCATGCTGAATTTAGTCCCCAGGGCTGCATCTAGACTGGCCTCTTGAATTTGCGCAAGAACACTGACACTCTAATGTAAGATTGTCAGTGTTCTTGCGCAAATACTATGCTGCTCCCGTTCGGGAAAAAGCCCTCTTGCGCAAATGTATTTGCACAAGAGGGCCAGTGCAGACAGCTAAAAACTGTTTTGCGCAAAAAAGCCCCGATGGCGAAAATGGCGATCGGGGCTTTCTTGCGCAAAACCGCGTCTAGATTGGCATGGACGCTTTTGCGCAAAAGCATCCGTGCCAATCTAGACGCTCTTTTCTGCAAATGCTTTTAACGGAAAAACTTTTCCGTTAAAAGCATTTGCGGAAAATCATGCCAGTCTAGACGCGACCCAGGAGTATAGTGTAGAAAGTCAGTATTCACAATTTGACATAGACTAAAAAGTTGATTTGTTATTCTTGTTAGCAGCTCTTCCAATTCCTTTTCAGGGAAGATGAAAATGTTGTCAGGATCACCTCTTGAAGTCTGTCACTGTGGAATACCCACAACGGAATGAGCTCCAGGATGTATCCCTTCAAACAGTGAAACAAAACCAAACCAAAACAAAGTCATTACAAGCACTTAAAGAAATCAGTGCTCATGTAAGTCATAATAATTAACATGGAAAACTTCTGTGTTACTACTACAGTCAGTCTCTCTCTTGGGAAGTGGGATTTTTTTTCCTGTTTCCAACTGACAGAATCTATTCTTCTCAGGGCTTGTACTAAATAATGTTGGGAATTAACAGCTGCTGTATGTAAGTACTTATGCTAGCACATACTCAACCCCCACTATGGTTAATTGGTGCAATACATAAGCATCAACATTTCACAATCAGCATTAGGCCTGATCAAAAGCCCAAATGGGAAGACTCCAGTTGATTTCAATGAGCTTTGGATCAGTCCCTGGGAGGCCTCTAATAATTAAATGTAATTACCATGATCTCATGGGCTAAACAACCAGATGTCTGTCCTCCAACAGTAGCATAATTCAGTGATGCTGTAACAACCTCTTCTGCAGTCTTTACTAGGAGACTGGGGTTTTGGTACATTGTCATTGGAGTAGAAACAGCATAAGGAGCCACCACCTGAATAAAAGATGATTAGAGACACAATTAGTGCCTTTTACTTAGAAGGATCCTTAACACATAGAAGGTAGACATGCAGCAGCTGTGAAATGGCAGCTGCCTCTGAGGAGGACTAAGGAGCAGAAGCACTTCTTTCACAACAGCAAAAAGGAGGAGGAAATTTTATCAGGATTCCCTGCATTTCATGGTATGGGACACTGCGACGGGACTTCAAATATGCATGAAAATAAAGGCAGATAAGATACTACATCACCTGTATGATGATCCCCTTTGCCTTATATTCTGCTTGAAGTGCTTTGGAAAATGTGTTTACAAAAGCCTAGGGTAACAAAATTTGAATAAACTTAGTAATCAGGAATTGAAATTACTTGTGTACATACAGGCATGTTTAATAGGTAGCAAGGTTTAAAACAAACAGAAGGCAGTACTTCTTCACACAATGCACAGTCGACCTGTGGAACTCCTTGCCCGAGGATGTTGTGAAGGCCAGGATTTTAACTGGGTTCAAAGAAAAGCTAGATAAATTCATGGAGAATAAGTACATCAATGGCTATTAGCCAGGATGGGTAGAAATGGTGTCCCTAGACTTTGTTTATCAGCAGCTGGGAATGGGTGACAGTGGTTGGATTGCTTGATGATTCCCTGTTCTGTTCATTCCCTCTGGAGGTACCTAGTATTGGCCAGTGTAGGCAGACAGGATACTGGGCTAGATGGACCTTTGGTTTGATCCAGTATGGCCATTCTTATGGACACACATACACAGCAACCACTTACCAAAGTGACCCCGGTATCATACAGATTAGGGCACAAATGTGTGTGCAAAATGTAGCAATGAGTTATTTAGTGCACCCACCTGCCGTATCTCATGAAGAAAAGGAGGGCCTAAGTCTGATCCCACAGGGCTCTTCTACTCAGAAAAATGTGTGCCCATATTCCAGCACAAGTCAGACATGAAACAAGCACTAGTGTACATGGGACTCAAAAGCATATCGTAGGTTATGAAAATACAATGGTGAGGACACAGCGATGTAAAAAAAGCCTGAGCTGTCTTTACACTAGCTGCTAGAATAAGTGCGGTTGCACCATTGCTGGAATATAAGAGATTCTTGTGACACATGATGAGACATCCATCTTGCACAAGGCCTGTTGGGGTAAACTTAGGCGAATTGCCTAGAGGCTACATCGGGAGAAAACCTAGGGAGCGGTAGGCCCTAACTGCAGATACGTCCTGCGGGAAGGAGGAGCTGGGCAGGATCTATAAAGCGGGAAAGTTGGCAGATAACCTGCAGTTGCATTTCCTAGTACAAGGGCAAGAAGCTGCAAGGACAGTGTAGGAAATAATTCAGGGAAGGAGCAATAAAGGCTGGAAAGGTAAACAATCTGGAACTACTAATTGAGAGGACCTGGGCTGGAACCCAGTGTAGAGAGGGTATTGCCTAGGTTCCCTTACCAGCCCCTGGGGAAGTCACACAGACCAAGCCATGGGGAGCAGCCTGTCTGGGACAATTTGCCTCAAAAAGCTTGTAATGCCCTGGATAGGGGGGAACATTAATGTGATTTGGGTGGCAGAAGCTCCCTAGAAGTGGAGGAGGCCTCCTGTGGCTGGGCTGTGGCCCCCATCCTTGTGCCACCTCTTCCTCTTCCTCCTGACGCTGCACCCTCACATTCACTCCTCTCTCCCCTGTTGCTCACCCTCACAACAGGTAAAAAGTAGAAGACCCTAGATCTCCCACATTTCAAAGAGATGGGTCCGAGGGCATCTGTCCTTCTCTACCCCCTGTTCTGGTGCCCTAAGCTAACCTATGAAAGGGAAAGTACTGCAGCTCCAGGAACATGAGAGGCTATGGAATGAGTGAGGAAGACTGAGGAAGGGGCATCAGACCAGATAGCGGAGCTAATTCCCTAGAATGAATCTCAAAGAGGCACTACAAAGGGTTGGTTAGAGCAGTCCCTAGCACAATGCACCTACACTTATTTTTATAGTAACCACTGATTCCACTGGTGTTAGTCCCAATTTACTGTGGAGTGAAATCAGAATCAGGGCTGGAATGTGAACTTAGTTGTATTGCCTCTGTTCAAACCTCTTGCCAAGCACTCAAAATAAGTGACTTAGGCAAGCCCCATAACATGGTGAGCCTGGATTACAAATAATTAGATTTTTTTTAAATAATAAGAGAGATACTTTCTGTTGCTTGATCCTTTAGTGTTCATGTTTCCAGGCTTCTCTTCACACCAGAAGGGCTAGAAATACACTTTTTTTTAAAATTAAGGCTAAGAGTCTCACACAATCACATGACTTCAGGATCTGGGGTATGAAAAAGTACCAAATACCCTGTGACTTGGCAACACTGACATTCACCAAAGTTAAAGAGAAGCATGCTAGTGCTTTTTAGCCATTATGTAGTGGGCAATTGACACTTTACACCTCAATGGAAAAGTCCCTTTTAAAATTATACAGTGGTAGAAGATAGATCATTTCAATGGTGTTTTGTTTTGTGTTTTTTTTGTTTTGTTTTTGTTTTGGTTGGTTTTGGGTTTTTTTGTTTTTTGGCCCATGATGTTAATTTAATCCCTAAATAGAATTGACATTCACTTGGTCTAAAATATAAAAATCTCCAAAAAGCTAGGCAGCTGCATGTGCCATTCCAGGCTCCAGTTGCGATTCTCAGCTAAAGCCTGGTAGATGGACCCTTTGAAAAACAAGAAAAGAGATGGAGGAGACAAAACTTGGAAATTAAAAACAGGTGAGTGTTTGTCTTTTCGTTTCTCTCCATTTCCTATCACCTATTGCAATGCTCTTTATCTTGTAACAGTGATAAGAGCCAAATTCAAAAACGGCAGCATAGAGCACCAAAGCCTGGAAATGTGGCTCTGGATTCAAATCCATATATTACGTTCATGTACCCAAATTGCAAAATTCATATCCACAGGTGGATCTCGATCCCAATGTACCCCTAGTTCAATATTGTTCCTGTTAGGTCCATCTCTCATCTGGAAATCTGAGGGCTGATCGGGGATAGCCTTACAGGGCGTGTGGGGGGGGGGTGCCACTGGGACCCAGAGTGTAGAAAATTGTGTCTGCTGCTGGTGCAAATGTATTCTTTCTGCTCTAGATGCACAGAGATGGTGGAGTGCTGTGCTGGAGGAAGGAGGGCACAAGAGACATAACAAGCAGGCTGGAGAAAAGGTGGCATGAGGGCATCATTTGAGCTCCCCGCCTCGGGTGCCAAAATGTGGGCCAGCTTGGAGCTGATTATCTACTGCCTTATATGATACAGCTGATTAGCTGTTTGTCGGCTCAGTGCGGCAGCCATGTAAATTTAAATGAAGCGGTGATTATTTAAATCGCCGCTTCATTTTACTATGTCTGGTAGCCTAATCTACATGCCTCTGGCGACAGAGGCATGTAGTCTAGACGTACCCTAAATATGTTAGAGTGAAAGGTTCTCAGATATATGTCCCCTGTTTTCATAATAAGAACCTAAAACTGAGATATGCCAGTAGGCTAGCAGAAATTTTTAGATAGTGCTGCCCACAGGTTTTTTCTTCAATTTAGATTTTTTTAAATTTTATTTCACTTTTGAGTACAGCCATTGGAAACTCAGGCAACAAAAAACTCACCAAAAAACTTAGGTTTCAAACTACCTGAAGCTTGGGCTGAATGCATGTGTATTTTTTGTCTGGGTTTTGAGAGCGCTTGGGTGAAATGTCAACTCAAAAGAGTTGAGACATCAGCATTTTATGGAAATCATCAAAGTGAATCCCATCAATATGACGTTTACATTTTGGGAGCTTTTAACTCAATGTGAAGCCTATGAAACACAAGCAATATGAACTTAGGCAAACTATGTCCATCCTTCCACTATACAAAATGTCACCCTATCCCCTGCAAACAAAATCTGTCACATTTTGTACGTTTTCAGTTTTGAGTAAACCAGTCAGCCTCTCTCTACAGAAATCACCACTCCCCTTTTTCTGCCTGAGTTTGCAGGGATGCTGTGATTATGTTTAATTGTATCTGAAAAAGTCAACATCATGTGTCAGATTCTAATATGTTGCTTCTATTGATTTCAGTGGAGTTATACAGATTTACACCAGCTGAGGATATGGCCATAGAGATGCACTTACTGTGTTTTGAGTGAACATTTCAGCAAAACTGATTTCCAAAGTAATATGAAATGCTTACTTTTGAAGCCGAGTACATAGTATATAATGGATAAGGAAAGGCGCCAAAACCAGAAGAAATATTCAGAATAAGTCCTTTTTGTCTGAAATTGAAATTAAAATCATTTTAATTAATTTACATTAATTTAAACTGCAGTCTTGTCCTTTAGAAGGCAGAACTCTTCTATTATGCAAACAAAATAGGCTTAATTATCAAAGACTCTTTAGAGCTTAATTAGCTAACAATCAAATAAAAAAATTTACAAGTATAATTTAAGTGAACAGTGCAGCTGGAACTATGGGGAGTTTTGGTTATGCTGTTATATATCTGAACATGAATATTGTCAGGTACTTGAAAAATTCAGAGAAAATAATTCATTTACATAACTGTTCCTTTTCCAAACCATTCCATTTCCCATTTCCTTAATTTGTTCCTTCATTTTCCTTATATACAGTAAAAAGCATCTTTCAGCTATTTTCATAATAACCAAAGAGAAAACCAGTAAAAGGTAAAAGTTTGTCTTGTTGCTGGAACAAAAGTTTATTGTGTCCTAAATAAATTTTTCTCCTCACTTTTCTTTTAAAAATTTTTAACTGAAATTCCATCTGTTTAAAAAATTTCTTAAATATAAGTTCCTTTGAAACAGATAAGAAAAAGAAACCTTTACTCATGGAGTTGAATTAAGTTGCTCTTAGTAAATCCAGTTATTGTAATTTATCTCTAATACTTTAAATACTATTATTCTAAACGCCATAGAAACTTTTAGAAAATATTAATGTTCACAAAGGCATGCCTAATTAGACTCATAATAGGCAGGTTTACATGTGCTATACAAGAATATATTTTTGTAAGCTTGCCCCAGTATATTACATCTTCTGACCTGCCCTATATACAATTCCTGCTATTTGTTCACACCGAAGCACTGTAAATTCTACAGAGCGTTGACACACCAGGAACCTGAGTAGTTTTGCAGAACTAATTGGAGCTAGTAAGTATTTGCTAGAATTAGAATCCCCAAAAAGCTTAAGGGGGGGAAAATGGTGTTTTACCTTGTCTTCATTTGTTTCAAAATTATCTGTGTCATCTACAAGAAATAAATGAGCTATGAGTTACATCCCTTCTCCCTGTGCTTTGCTCTTTTTGTTTGTTTGTTTGAAACGAAGAAAATGTGCTAATATTAAATTCTGAAAGTGGGGGGAGGGGGATTGGAGCAGGTAGCTTAAAAATACTTGAAATTTGGGGGAAATTTTACTGGCACAGGACACACCGAGTTCAACTGCTGTCAAAAGTTTCCAAAGGTCAGTTGGAAATGTAACAAACATTTTCCTGCTTATGCAAAGCTTCTCCCAGCTACCTGAATTTCATGAGTCTGCAGTATTGGACCAAATATCTGAATCTGTTTCATAGCATTTCAGTGTTTCCACTTCTGGTCTCAACCAGGGACAGAGGGGCAAAAACACATAATGCTTTCCCTTGTCTTTTCAACTCTTTCAAGCCTCAACATGAAAGCTTTCAGTTCATTTTGAATTTCAAAGATTCAGGTTAAAACAGCAAGGTGTCCTGTGGCATCTCAAAGACTAAAGCATAAACTTCCAGATTGGAGCTTAATTATTCAGCCTCCCCCATCTATCATTCTACCCTGTTTTAGCAAAGCACTTAGGGGTAGACTTGAGCACATATCTATTTAGTGAAGCACTTATACACACACTTAACTTTCTGCATGGACTTTGAATCCCTTTGAACTCAGTGAGACTCCTCACTTTTAAGGACAAGAGGCTTGATAGATAACTCACAAAGGCATTGTCTACACTGAGAGATAAGGTCAATTTTTTTTAGCCCCTGATTTTGTAAAGTCAAAGGTGCATGTTCCCACTGTGTGCAAGAGTTCGTCCCCAGTAGGATGGATACTGTCAGCTTTGACAGTGATGCACTGTGGGTAGCTAGCCCACAGTTCCTGCTGCCCCTTTGCATTCTGGACTGTGCTCCTAGTCCTCGATGGGACCAAGCAGTGCAGCAGGTGGTTCTGAGTACATGTCATCAGCATCCCATAATGCACTCATCACTTCCCACCCCCCCATCCACCTTGAAAACAATGCCAAACAATCGTTTTGCATCCTTTTTTCCCTTTTTTCTATGCAGATGCCATAGCAGGGTAGCAGATGCCATAATAAGGTATGCATGCAACCCATCGTGGAACCCATTCATCAGCAAAGTTCTATGGCAAGAATACCAGAATGAGACCCACCTGACAGTTAGCTGGGAAGTGAGTTGCAATAGCCCCCTGAAAGCTTGCAATGACAGACAGTCCCACTTCTACAAACTTGAATTTAGCCTTTTACCCCTATCTAAGAATGTTTTTTGGAGATGCTCTAATTTAAACTTCAGACACCTTTCAAGAAGATATTCTTTGATAAGAGTCAAAGCAATTCTCAGAGGAGAGTGAGAGTTTTAGTCAAACACACTTAATAAATGGTGTGATCAAACAGCCACATTGGAGAAGGTAGATATGTTAGATATGGTAAGGGAACTCATAGCAACTAAACGGGAGAGTCTGTCAACAAAGGCCTCTCATATCATGTTTATAAAGATATCAGCTAAGGTTGAGATGAACTAAGAAGCATTTAGTTGTAGTTCAGGTTAACATGTTGTCCCAAACAGCAGAGCTGTTTCATCATCTAAAACAGGAGGTGATGAAATGCTAACTGCATTTGAAAGGGAAATAACTAATCAAGATCAGAGCTATCCAGAGAACATTTTGTTATGAAACAACTTTTGAGTTTTGAGTGTTCTCAGTAGGATTGGTCAGTCTGCAATGAATGTTTTGCAGAAGGTGGAATCATGACTCAGCCATTTTCGAAACAAAAAGATCAGGTTTTCAATCTCTCTCTCACGCCAGCATGGACAAGAAGCTTTCCTGTCAAAGGTTTGTCAAAACTGATACATTTTTGCAAAACTTTATGGCAAAGCCAAACCCTCCTTCCCCCATATTTAGAACACACACACAAAAATGTTGAGAACTTTCTGACCAGCTCTAATCAAAACATTCAACATGTAGTCTCCTAAATTAATGCTTCCATTAGGAGCAACAAAGAAGCCAGCCAAAATGCAAGGAAATATTGTTTCAGACAGTGACAATGAGTTTTGTTTTTCTCTGGTAGAAATGCATGTATTTCTTTACACACTGTGTATTATACATACCTTGGTAATAGAAATAATGTTGCAGTTGATGAGGTTCTGTCAGACATGAGAAAATAATGCAAATGTAGACACATTTTGAGACATCAAAATCTAAGCTTTTTTTTTTTTTTTTTTTTGCAAAGTTTTCTAATGGAACATTCAGGGTAAAGTAATTCAAAAGGAGGCTGCAAAAATGCATGCACATTTACCATGACTGCATATGCAAATATCTATTTTCCTGCACAATCATCCAGTTTGTCACGCAATCTCGCTAACTGCACTAAGTTCACAAGATGCACAAATGCATATGAACTGCTTCACTCATATTTTAAATGTGGCCTTCAAAGCTGGCAGCTGTACATTCTTATGATTTGTTCAGTGTCAGTTTTAGAAACCTAGTCTTTGTGTATTCAAAAACTTGGATGCTGGGCAATAAATGAATACATACATAAATTAAATTAAATTAAATTAAAATGCATTTTTGCAATCAAATCAAGTCACAGAACAAAATTACAGCTGTCAGGTTGAAACACTTTAAAAATGTGACTCTCAGGGTATGTCTATATTATTGAGAAGATTGAAACTGCCTCTGTCGATCTTCCAGGATTCAAATTAGTGGATCTAGTGAAGACAGATAATTCAAAGTGAGAGGGGCACTTTGGTTTATGCTGGTAACCCTGCTTTCACAGGGAGTAAGGGAAGTCGAAGGAAGAGTGTTCTTTCTTCAACTTCCTGCAGTGTGGACAGTGCCAAAAGGCGACTTAAGCTACTTTGACTTCAGCTACACAATTAATGTAGGTGAAGTTATGGATCTTAATTTGACATTGTAGACTTATCCTTAGTGATCTATTGGTAGCTGTCTTTAGCATAAACTGGATATTTTGGAGAGTAGAGAAAAGAGTTAGACAGATACTTATTTTACACTGCTTGTATAGCATAATAAAAGAATAAGGTGAAAAGAGATTCAACAGATTTAGGTTTAACCAGTCAGCTAGGTCATTAATTCTCTAAAAATACCCTGCACATACCAAGTGCCTCTGTTCTCTGACAAAGTAAATTTGGGCTCATATGTTTTGTTTTTCAATTTCCATTTAGACAAACAATGGTTTCAAAGCAGGGAAATTTTAATGTATATATATTGGGCAGCAATGCAGTAGATGTTATACAAACATATAATAAATCATGGTCCCAGAGGTTACTCATCCTTCGTTACACTGTAGGCCAGTAAATCCTACCGGTTGGTTATTAAACCTAAGGAACTAGGTTGCCCTTCAGGCAATATTGCTTTATTCTAACATCCCTTTTCCTTCTCAGCGTATGTTTACATTAGCCACCCTAGTTCGAACTAGGGTGGCTAATGTAAACATACGCTGAGAAGGAAAAGGGATGTTAGAATAAAGCAATATTGCCTGAAGGGCAACCTAGTTCCTTAGGTTTAATAACCAACCGGTAGGATTTACTGGCCTACAGTGTAACGAAGGATGAGTAACCTCTGGGACCATGATTTATTATATGTTTGTATAACATCTACTGCATTGCTGCCCAATATATATACATTAAAATTTCCCTGCTTTGAAACCATTGTTTGTCTAAATGGAAATTGAAAAACAAAACATATGAGCCCAAATTTACTTTGTCAGAGAACAGAGGCACTTGGTATGTGCAGGGTATTTTTAGAGAATTAATGACCTAGCTGACTGGTTAAACCTAAATCTGTTGAATCTCTTTTCACCTTATTCTTTTATTATGCTATACAAGACCCTTCTGAAAGGCCATAAACCTTAAGTATGTTCAGTTGGGGCTCAGTTCCCTCACTAAATTAATCAGTGCAGCTTTCACCAACCTCAATGGACTCAGGATCTGCTCCTTATTAAATGGAACCTCTGGCCCTAATTGTTACATTGCAAATCCTACCTCATCTGTCTCTGCTGCATTAAGGAAACGGCATGGAAGAGGATTATGAAGCATTCCAACATTGTTAACTAATCAGAAAGGAAACAGAACAAGAAAAATTATATTTGGATAAGATGTACAGTTTACCTGGTTAAACAAAAGATTTATCCTTAACTAGCTTTTAAGTTGTATGTGAAGAGAAAATCTAGATTAGTGTCCTCTCTTGTTCTCCCTGAAGCAATCAATACTGACTTCAATAGAAGCAAAACCAGGCTATTACTGGATTTTTTTGATTCATTAAAAGGCTATTTAAAATACTTTTTTCCAATCCATATCATTCCAGTAAGCTTTAACCAAAAGTTCATTTCTAGTGGCTTTCAGGTTCCAGGCTAAAATTCCACACAGCTGTAAAATAAACTCTGAAAATGAATCCATTGAAACTAAACAGGCAGTCATCACATAAAATGGATAGATACTGCTCAGTAGGTGGTAGATTGGTTTAGAGGTAAATTAACTACTGTACCCTATTGGAGAAATAGGGAACCCACAGAATGCCTTGATCATCTCTCTACCACTTGTATAATAAACAATCAAAACAAGCTTATTAAGTAAGTAAAACACTTGGTTTTAACATTTCCATGTTAAAACCAACTTGTTAGTTTGTGTCATATACATTGTGTTCTAAAACAAGTGATTCCAGTTTGTAGCTGCATAGTAAGAAGCAATTGCTTAATATATTATATAAATATGAATACATTTATCAAAATATTCTTAAATAAATGGGTCAAATTAACTTACCCAAAATGCCAATTTCTAAGTCTTGAAGACTTTTTTTAATATTCTCATATATGTAATCTTTTGTAAAATCAGCTTGTATGATCTTCACATTTCTACCTGTGGCTTGTTCTGTAATTAATACACAAAGTATGTAATATATATAGACCCACATAAAAAGAGAGAACAGTAATAAGAGGAATGTGACAAAGAACCTGGTTCACCCATTTGTATTACATTCTGTACTGTATGCAGTTGTTTAAAATCCCTTGCTTTTTAAGAGTAATTAAAATAGAAGCAAAAGACATTTTCTGTAACACATTTTTAAGGGAAAAGTCAGTTTCTGCCCCGAAATCTGAGAGAGCTCTGTCCAAATATCAGGACAAAATTTAGCCCCCCAACTGGAAATAGTATAAATCATGCAAAACTTCTAAGATTTTCTTCAATTATTTTAGAGCTTGTAAGAGAAGATTTGCAGTTTATTGAAACATTGAATTGAAACGTTTATGGAACATGCTGACAGATTGATGTAAAATGTATACAATTATTTTAAAAGGTTGCTTCTTTGTAAAATGAAAATTTCAACAGGCACAACTGGGCTTTGCATGTTGGGGGCAGGTTGTCAAACAATAGTTTGTTGCCTCCATTTGAAATACAGCCTATTTTTATTATTCATAATCACACCATTGTAAAATGGACCAGCCTAAGGATTGAATGGGGTGAATTATTGAGGCAACTCTTTGGGATACACCTCAACTTTGACTTATTTTAAAAAGGAGTATCTATACTCTCTACCCCTCCCCTCATCTACTCCATCTGCTTTGGAAGTGGCACCCAGCTGCAGAATGCTGTCTCTTGAGTCATTTGGTTTATGTCCAATTTACATTTTCAATGCTATCTTTACATAGAAGAGTGGCTGACTGATTTAAAAAATGAAAGCTGAAATTCTCTGTGAGGGAGTTCAAATGATAACTCTGCTAACAAGGGGGCTCAACAGAGAAATATTTATGACTAAACCTTTTTTCAAGGGTTTTGTGAGCATCTGAACTTTGAACCACGTTTGTTGAAAGGTTTGCTCGGTGAATCTAGGTCCAGTTTAAAGGTTTTTCTCCTCCTCCCTTTCTTGAACACACACATTTGTCAACTATGGAAATTCAGAGACCATTTCAGATGCATGTAGACTCTAGAAAGTCTAGGAGTGAAATGGAAACTGACTCTAGAGCAATATGGAATTGGCCTTTGTATTTAACTTTCCTATTTGATTCTTATATGGGGCAAAAACTTGGCCTCTGGGAGGGGATGGGAGGACAGGGAGACCCTAATTTTCCCAGAAATTGCGAGCTTTCTAATTCCACTTCAGTTATCGGCATATCTTCATATTCGGCAAGAGTTTGCTTCTTCTGTACACCTGAGCTCTGCTTGGGGCAAGACAGCTGGGAAGCTGTTAGGATGCCAGTTATAGCTCTCTGATTCTCTGGGTCTGTACTAACCCTGGCATGAGACTCATTGTTATGGAATTGAGCAGAGCTCCCTCCCTGCTCCCCAGTATGCTCTGGGGTGAAAATGGCTAGTGCAGGAGCCAGCTCCATCAGCTACAGCCAGATGAGTTCTCGCATTTGAGGAGCACAAAGGAGCCTGAACTAATTGCTGAATCTAGTCCTAAATCTATGGGGAATGAGTCTAGTGGCAGCAGCACCTTTCCTCACTGTATGAAAGTCTCTGGTGGCATGAACCTGCTTAAAGCCTTTCTCTGCTGCCTCGGTGGCTCCCCTCCTCCACAGCCACAAACAGCTGCC